AGAAGAAAAAGAAATGAAAGGGGTGGGTGAGGATCGAGGGAGGAGGTTAGGGGGGCGGCGGCTGCTGTCGCGACGGTTTCGCTCGAAACGAATCCCTTTCTCGTTCCCGGCAACGTTCGCTTGGTAAACGTTCGAGGTCCACCTTTTGAAATCGCCTTCTGGAAATAGGGGCGCCGGAATCCTTCCGCGTTATTACGTACGGTGGTTCGCGATTGCAGATGGATACGTTTCCCGAATTAGACATTACAACGTGTCTTTGACGACGAACGATGCTCTCAGTCGTTTCCTTTTCCTTTCAACATCGTTAGATTAATAATGTTCATCGTTAGATAGCTGATCGTATTAGTGGTCAAGCTTGAAACATATGCTGCGAGATACCGGTTTTTAGTTTTTATATTTTGTTTTGGAATACATCGAGTGTCTGAAATATTGTGTTTCGATGAATTTCTGAATCATGGAACAACTTACGAAATTATTCGAACACTTGTAGAAACAATTTAGCTTTGTTTCTATCCCATTTTTAAATATCACTAAATAGTTGGAATATTATACCGATGAACTTTTTGTTTAATGGATCATGAAGTTCTTAAGATTATCAAAAGATACGTGGCTGATTTTCAAAATTAAAATCCTTTTTTCAAAATCTATTAAACCCATTAAATTTTATATGAAAACATGTCCGTTGTTATATTTTTCTCGTTCGAAATTTCTACAACACATAACATGTGAGGGAGACAGAAAATTGACGATGACACATATCACAAGACTCATCTTGGTCACTCATAGAGAGTATGATATACGTCTGTTTCAAATTTCACTAACATAATAACAATCTTGTTTCATCGAAGTCCTCGTGAAATTTATGAATGTTTATAAAACACATGCAGATAATATATTCATAAAAACTTTTGTACGCATCCTTGAGAATGGTCTCGAATATACATCGAATAATTCTTGATATTTACTATTTAACAACATAGTATATTATCATTATCGATACTTCAGTGATCCTTGCAAAAAATATTCTCTTCATCCTCCATTCACTACAGTTTCCAAATCACTTCTAAATTTCGCCAGAATCTTGTCTCTTCGCGTAACGATGCCTTAAAATATTTTATAAAAAATATAATAAAACCTGTTAAATCGAACCTTCGAACACGAACGTGGTAACGGATGCGCCGATGGATTGGAGATGGTCGAAGCACGACCGACTGCCAGCGGAACCGGGAAATCGGCGCGTTTCACATCGATCCGTGAGCGTGGCGAATCGTCGGGAGAATCGCAAATTCGCCAACTGGATCGCGAATCCGATCGCGTCCGCTGCACTTGCTCCTCCTTTCGTGCCGATCCTATTCGATCCGATCCGATCCGATCCATTCGCGATGCGGTAAATCTGTCACGATGACACGCCGATGGCGGCCGGATATCGCGGGCCATCGGCTCGTTTAGTATCGCGGAGGGCGTCGGACGTCGAACGTCGAGCATAGAGGATGAGAAAGAGGAGAGAGGCACCGCGTCAACGGCATATATTACGAGTCACATTTACTTGAAGCTGATACATAGCAAACTTCTCGGCAGCGAACAGCCGGAACATGGCTCTGCTATGAGGATCCTCTGCTGCTGACGATACGTTTCACGAATAAGTAAGTTTATCCTTGCTTCTTCTTTCCTTTCTTTTCAAGAATTCCTTTTTAAGAAAGTAGTATGTTCTTCTTGAAAGTGTGTTTATTGATTTGAGGGGAAATAATTGTGTTCTTAGCTGTTTTTCGACGAGTAAAAGAGAATTAGATTTTCCGTGGAACTTGTGTAAAATCGGATAATGATATTGAGAAAAATATGCGTTGTATATTGTGTATACATACTACGTACATACATGGTGAAGTATACATTTAAGCAATACTGCATGTACTCCTTGCAGAGTTTCTAGATTTCCATTTTGTTCTTTTTGCATCTCTTGCGAAAAATTTTAACCATTCTATCGAGTAAGTACGTAATAAGCTTGATAACATTTCCGTAATAGTTTTGACTTGCAATATTTGCTCTCAATTATTGCCTTTACTCCATCGTTTTCTTATTTTTCATCTGCTTTCTTCGTTCCTTTGTTGGTATTCTATATATATTTTTTTCATGTACCCTTCTAATTTCAATCGTTGATTAGAAGAAAATGACCGTCTACTTAGTTTTAGAAATACCCTGTTTTCAATCGAAAACTTTACAGTTAGCATATTAAAATTCCAAAAGAAGCAACGACTTCCACTAAATTAATATAAATCAAATAAAGCTTGTCAACACCACCAACACGTTCGCATATTTATCGCGGAGCGTGGATAAAAGGAAAAAGTGCAAACTTTCGATCTTCACTGCGGGTCAGGAGTTAACGGCACGTGCAATAATAACGCACACGTACATATGTGAGATAAGATTCGACGCGTCTACGCCTATGCGGTCGAAGAAAGAATCGAGTCGAATCGATCGGTCGATCGGTCTATCGGTCGATCCTCGTTGCGGTCCGTGGCGGCTGGTGTACCACCGGTCTGGCCGACTATCCAAGAACGGCCCTTGTAACATAAAATGCTGATTTTATTTAAACGCCAACTTCCCCCATCTCTTTCCTCTTCGTTCTCGTCCAGTTTCGTAGCCACCGGTGTATTTATCGCGGGGCATTCCGGCCGGACGTAAGTATGTCGGTCCCTGGTACGCCCGTTAATAATGTCCTTAATCCTCGGAGCTCCGGGGCTCCACCAGCCCGAACTCTGCGGCGATCCCCACCCACCCTCTCCTCCAGCCGGGAGCTTTTTTGCATATATCGCGACCGAACCGTATACACCGTGGACCGACCGAATTCTCGTTTTTCGAGAAGCTTTTTCGACGATACGCGGAACGGAGCGACCTCCTAGTACTTTACGACCGTTTCGATCGTCCCTCCCCTCCCGACTGTCGCGCGACCCCCGTGTTTCGTCCTCCCCCTTACGCCACGCAGCTACCAACAAACAGCCGTCCACGATCGCCACGCGTCCAGATTACCGTCGATCGCGATGATATACATACGTTGATGCACAAACAGGGAAAAACATCGGCTCCCGATTATCGATCTCTGCTGATATATATATATATATATATATATATATATATATATATATATATATATATATTGCGCGTTGTCGAGTCTCGGTGAGGATAGGGTTGAACGCGACGAAGGTTTGTCAGCCTTCTCGCGAGGGAGGCCTACTCGCAATTATATTTGATTAAATTAGATACGTGTGTGTGTGTACAAGGAAAAAGGGGTAATGTTTGAAGGATAAAAAGAATATCTTTTTTCCCTGATTTTCTGTATGTGATGTACAGTTCAATCAAATCACGATGATTATAATGTTCAAAATATTTTCCCACACTTGGTTGTTTAAAAACAAGAGATCCTTATTCTTCGCCTAATGTAGAATATTATGTCATTGTTAGATCTGATTTTATTTTATTTTTTTTTTTTTTTT